GAATGTCTATCAAATAAATGGCCAGAGGATATGAAGTGCTGGTTAAAAGCATTGCACGTGTCTGTCTTGTTTGAAATTAAATCATTTTCACTACTGATCCGAGAAGGTAGAGAGGAGGTAGGTTTGTTTTTTAGAGATTTCATGATTTTCCAGAAGTTGGTTGCATCCCCATGGGAGTTTGCAAAAGAGGATAAGTAATGGTCAGATTTAGCTTTTCTGATCTGACTAATGCACTTATTTCTCAGTTTTCTAAAATGAAGCCAATCAGTGAGATCATCAGTGGATATGGCTTGTGCAAAAGCTCCACTGGCTGGGAATTTGAGTGGACTGTTTGTTAATATAAGATCAATCAAAGTGGATTTGGACTGATTATTAGTGTTTGGCCTTGTAGGATAGGAAATCAGCTGAGATAAATTTAACTCGAGACACAGTTCTTTCTACCTTGAAGAATTTCCAGACAGCCAATCCAGGTTAAGGTCACCCAAGACAATCAACAAGGAGGCATAGGATGACATTAGTTTGCCTTTTTCTTCTAAGGCGTTATTTGATGCTGATGGAAGGCGGTAAATACCAATAACAGTAAAATGAACATCGCCCCCAGGACAGATGTCCAACACGATATATTCATATTTCTTAGGCACTGAGGAAGCAGCAAGTTCACGTACACATTGATATATGTATATATAATGTTCATTATTGTATGAATTAACTGTTAATTAAGGCTTATTACACCCTTAATAAATAATTACTAGACACATTAGTTAACTGTTAGTAACCATTAGTTAAGGCTTAATAATGCCTTAACTAATGTTAATTAATGTAACCTTATTGGAAAGTGTTACCCTTAAGGGTTTTTAAACAAACAATAATCTATGACTAATGCTGTTAAAAGATCATAACTTGCAATTATTGTAACACAGAACAATAGTTTTCAACTTTTAACGCAAACATGGCTGCCTACTGGGAAAGTTCCACTCATTGTTTGGCTTTAGGAGGAATATCACAGATTTCTATTTCAGCGAGCGTGAACACAGACATCACTTAAAACTATTTATAATGACTTCTTTAATTTAGTGTATAGTAATCCTTTTGAGAAACACTCTTACATAAAACATCTTACACAGCAAGAAATGGCTGGTGTTAGATTATTGCTGCATCAGCATCCCAGCAGTTCATGAACAAAATGCTTTGGTAGCAAAATTTCAGGCGCTTGAGGGTTGAATGAGTTCATTGAAATAAGCTATTGAAGAATGTGGTGTGACTTCAGCCCTACATGAAGCAAGTTTTTCTTTATAATGCAGAAAGAAATGACTTTTTTTAGCCTCTGCAGTGAGTAGCAACAGGATTGACTTCCATGGTCTGTTAAACACAAACACTCACATTAACACATGCATACTCATGGAGGGGGGTGTACAATAAATTTGTGTTTAAATTGTGGGCTGGGAAGTAACACATTCTGCAGAGATCACATAAAAAAACAGATTTATAGATTCTGCTTAAGTGAAGAAAAAAGGTTATTTAGTCGTACTTCCATGTAGATACATTTACTAAATATTTGGCCAGCTTGTATTGACAATACTGTACCTGGGCACGATGCTCACAGTCATTATAAAAGCTGCCACCTTATGCCTGGTACACACTACAAGATAATCGAGCTGATTTTAGACCCGATTCCCCCCCTTCTGACCAAAGTCAGCAAAGGACCGACAATCTGATGTTCCAAAGATTATCTTGCCAGATTCTCCTGTGGTGTGAGGTGTGTTTACAGTGATTTTAACCTCCCCGATGTCCTTGGAAGACGATCGGGGCCGCCCCGATTTGAATTGGAAATCCTGTTGTGTGGGGGAGAACAATAGCCAATAGGGAGCAAGCTGACTAAAGCGGGAAGCACAACAAACATTACCATGGCGACAACAGCAATCGCGAAGCGTAAAGTTAAATGGATGTCATGAATTTAGGAGCAACTTGTTGATTTGTGGTGACAACACGAGTTTTAATACAACGTGTCCTGTAAAACAAACCACAATCCAACTGACAAGGAAAGGAGTTGACCAAAATGTTTACCATAATGTACCAGCTAACAGCTAGCCACAGCTAGCCACATTTAGCTTGACTGTCATGTTTGTTTACTCTTAAATCGCGTTTGACCGCGCAAGATTATACATTGTGATAGTCGATACTCTGGTTGTCGACAAATTAATCGGTTAGTGTGTGGTGTGCGTTGATCGTCTCGTTGCACACCACACACTATGAGATCTGAAATGTTAATCAGTCATGATTGTTGTCATGTATGGGGTCTCACATTTTTAAAATCGTTTAAGATTTTCAAAATCATTTAGTGTGTACCAGGCTGCTTAGGGAGACTTTCTGCATGCGCCTTGTTTGGTTACTTTGTCCTTTTCCATCCAACAAATGCACGTTACACTTTTCACACACCCACTCACTTACACTATTGACTCTACTGACATCCAATTTATTTATTTTGCAATTTAATTCATATTTTTGTAAAGAAATCACGTTAATTAAGTGTTATTTCGGTGTCTCAACCTTTATTGGTCATGGCCTTTGAACCAGTCATGACAAAAACAAAAGGCTTGGAGTTGAAAATTCAACTGGCCAAGCAGTAATGAACAGCACAGAGCTCGGGCAGCACCAGGACACGAGGGCATGGCAGGACTTGACCTTTTTTGGACTACAGCATTAATCCTCTGCTTAATCCAACAACGCCAATAATCAACACTTACATAAACTCTCACTCAGAGCAGGGAAGGAGGGAGTATTTTTGAGGGTTTTTACAGGAGTGACATGGTACATCCTTTCTTCTGGCTCCGCTCCCTTTCATTCTCAGGCTGCTCTTGATCGCCTCCGGGGTTTACGTAAGACTCTACAGGATGATGCAAGCCCTGTCCAGACTGCCTCATCTGCTGCTGGGGATGAGTGCATCTCATTTGAAACACTGAAACTTTAAAGAGCTTGACAGGATCAGAGGAGTATGAAGAGAGGCCAAAGAGGACATATCTCACTTAGAAGTCTTTTCAAGCAAGACACAAAAGAAATAACAGGTTCATTACAAAAATCCCTTCATTTTTCTTAATAACCAAGTTATGATTTTTTTTTACCCATATTCAATTTATGTACACTTTCATCCTTCTTGAAAAGTGTCCTTCAAAGTGTCACAGTGCTGTCAGTCAAAAAGTAAGTGTGACTGCATTCTTTCATGAAATTCTAAGACTTCAAAGAGTCGACATTTAATAAACGAATGATCAATTGTTCCACTGTGACAAAGAAAACCCAGCACATATTCACACATTCAACAACACCTCCCGAGTATGCATAGTCTCCCACTTAGACAATCATAAAAAAAACATTAGAGCAAACACACACACACACACACACACATTTAAGCTACAACACATTCATACTCTATTTTGTGGATGAATATCAAAAAGCTAATGTGAGGATGCTTTGAATCCTTTGTAGTCTCTGTGTGTATACTGTCGCCCACTTACACACTTGCATAACAAGTGAGTTTACATGGTCCTTTAACTCAATGATCAAAAAATTATCCACACAATAATGGCATTGTTCCATTACACCTTCTTCTTTCTGTTCTATTAAAAACCCAAAATGCATGTGTTTTTTTTTTTACTTAACTGTTGAATCCTGGAAAATGTAAGGGCTTACAATGACTAGTTTTAATCATAAATATAAAGAGTCTAACATAAACTCTTCATATATATGACTAGACATGAACCAGATGTAGTTATTAAATGACAGTTGACCTTTCAAAATAAAAATCATTGACAGCACTGTGACCGTTCTGGAAATGTCAGATCTTTTCAAATAAGCCTCTTAAACTGTGTGTGTGTGTGTGTGTGTGTGTGTGTGTGTGTGTGTGTGTGTGTGTGTGTGTGTGTGTGTGTGTGTGTGTGTGTGTGTGTGTGTGTGTGTGTGTGTGTGTGTGTGTGTGTGTGTGTGTTTCAGTAGCCAGAAATACTGTAAGCTAATTAAGCTATCTGGAGAGTTTTCTTACAAAAACATAAAAAGTTAAATATACTGTATATACAACAGTTTTTCTCAAATTGTCTACCTTGTCTTGATTAGTATTTACTGTTGATGAAGAGGCAACCCATAAACATGCTAAGAATCCATTATTCTTCTTAAGAGCCAGCTCTTTTGGCTACAAAACAGCTCTTCATTTGGTACCATTTTGGCTTTATCAAATCAGTGTTTTCACCTCTGATTGACATGTGTGCATGTGTTTTACCAAAGATATTCATTGTATTACTACACAGAATAGTTGCCAGAATAGGACTATGATGTGTGGTATAAAACATTATTCATAGACCACTCTAGGTGTGCCTGTGACCGAGTGGTGTGGACAAAAGATCATCCCTATCCTTCTGTTGTGTATTACTTCACAAAAAGGGGAAAGAAAGGGGTCAACTCTCGGTTGACAGCCCTCTATGGTTTGAACCTGCTCCGCTCCTTTTCTTCTTTACAAAGTAGTTGCAAGAGTACATTTTTTAGAACTATTTTAAATCATTTCTGCCAACTGGGCATCTTTTTTTAAAGCCTTCTTGTGTTAGCTGTCAATGCCCGTATGTATGTATGTGCATCTTATGCATGAAGACAACATGGGGTCCCACTCACTAAAGAAACTGCTGGTGGTGAAAAAACCATGATTACACAAACCGCTACAAAATCATGCTTCATTTAACTTACAATGACTAAGTTACTTACTGATGAAATCCAATTTTTAACTTTAATTGATTTGTGACTCTGGCATTTTTGTCCATATCAAATAACTTTTTCGCCCATGAAAGTCTGATTACTTTAAAGAAAGTAATGTCCTTAAATTGCTCAGTAACAATGGATATGTAACGTGTCTACTTGACAAACTCTATTTTTTTGGCTGTTTTCTGGTGTTAATCTTTATTTTTCAGTTAATCAATTATCAGAAAAAGGTTTATTTTCAAAGCAGTATAGTACATCTTTTGTCAATTCTTTGCTTTCAACAGAAATTAAAAAGAAGTATGATTTGTGTACAACATTCCACTGTTTTCACCTTTACTACAGAGGAGTACTGTTGCATCTCTCCAACCCTTTTAATTTAAAAACCCTTACACCTGCTCTGCTCTCATCCAAGAAGTCCAGCACTGGGTTATCATAAGCCAGCTCTTCCTTCCTGCTGGTGGCTCCTTTCTTTGTGTCAACAGAGTTGGTCTGTGTTGAAGTTTGCGTCTTCTCTTCTTCTCCCTCTTCAAATGTGGAGCTGCAGCAGATAGTTGTCTTGGTGATCAAACGGTCAAGTGGTTTAAGAGAACGCATCCACTGGGGCAAGAAGTCCCAAGATTGCAGCTTATTAGGTAGGCAATTGGGGCTGTGTGCCTGCATTATATTTACCATGGCAACAAAGATAGTTACACCCATGAAAGGAGCCCCAATGCCTGCCATTACCCGCCATCCTGCCAGTGACAGACCCAGAACCAGCGAGGGCAGGAGCAAGAAACAAAGGAGAAGGTACACGACTGCAAACCAACGGTACTTAGCAGTGCGCTCACCCAAGACACGAGCCATCCCTATTGGCAGGCGCATAAAGGGAAGAGGATACCACAGCAGAATACCAAAGAGGTTGAAGAAGAGGTGACATATGGCAATCTGCAACACAAAAAAAGACATTGGCTATGAAACAAGTTGGCTTAGGACATAGGCAGACACAGCATACTGGTGCTGAAGGGCGTTATACATCAAAGTCAATTCATGCTGTCATTTACATCCTTAGTCTACACAGTTTTGACATCATGTAACATTTATTTCATAAACATTATTTAGCTGCAAGGTTTCTGATTTTCATAGTTTTGTCCCTAGACACAGCTAACAAACAACCTGCAGCGTATAGTTAGTTGCCTGCAAAGCCCTTATGCATAAATCCATACTCATGAATATCTGTATACAAACATTTCTATAATCCACGATCTGTTGATAATTCACTGTAACACCCCTGTTTTCGATCATAACAATGAAAAATACATTTGTGGGTTCCTCTGTTATTGCTGTTTCACAGTCAGGGTTCATCCTCCTTCCGGGAGGCATATCAGTGGAAAATATATTCATGAGAATAGTTTCCCCTCCAATAGGGAGAGCAGTGGTAGCGTTGCCTTGACTGTCCTCTCTCTCATTTCCCTGCAGTTTTAAATGGCTGTTATATCTGATTAACAAACAATGGATTACTTGAATGGCAGCTGCTAGCTGGTTCCCAGGACTGGCCAGAGCTGCCAGCAGGGCTGTGGCTGTGGTGCCAATGTTGGACCCAAGGGTAAGAGGATAGGCCCGCTCCAGACTTATAACGCCAATACCTGAGGGAGTCGACAGAAACACTATTTTCAGAGGACACAAAGGCAGTAAATAAAGACAGTTAACCCTGAAATGTTATAGCTTCTGTCATATTTCTGATGAAAGTACAATCAGCCCTTGAGATAGAAGATAAATGAATCAGTGTCAGCAATGATAAACAGATTCGGACCGTACTGCTCTATATTTACTCTTTGTGATTGTGATTCAGTTTCCAAGCTGCTGATGTGATCTAAAAATACAGCTTTCACAAGGACAGGGAAGAGAATAAAAGCTGTAAGAAGATAAATTTAACTGATCTTGTTAAAGAAAAAAATGTTCTTAGAACTCTGCTGAGAATCCTGAACACTTCCCCAATAGATACAAAATAAGTTTAAATATTTGAATCTATTTAATCACAGATAAATTGTCAAATTGTCAGCTAAATTTGCTAAATGTTTGTAAACAAATAGAGGCTTTACCTTTGCCAGATAAGATGACTAACATCTCAGAAATGCTTGGATTCTTCTGACAACCAGAGGTCAAAAATATAAATATACATAAAGTCAAAATTACTGGACTCTATGAAAATGTTTGATACCTGTTGTTTTCAAGTCTCTTCCAAGAAATTACACAGTTACATGGTCACATCAAGTGAAACTGGAATTAGAAATGCAATACATTTGGAAATGATCCTTCATGTAAACGTTTGTCTTTGAGCGTAGTGATTATTCCTGTTTAGAATGAGAAAATATTCCACCTCACATTTATCACTATGTAGCAGGCTGATGACTCACTCATCGCTGATTTTACATGCTTCATTGAGCCAGTTGCATACAGTGCTGGTTATGTAACATTTTCTTATAAACCTCACAATACAAGATAAGTGGCAGAAAGCAGGTTTATGTCCTTATTTGGTCCTGTTTAGAATATAAATGAGCCATTAGCCAACAAGGAATTTTAAATGAATTCTTTGCTTGTTTGAGAACACATTAATTTCAATCAGCCCTTTAATGCATGACTTGAGCAGTCAGTTAAACCTTTGCTCAAATTGCAGTACAGTTACCGATTCAGTATTGTAGCAGTAAATGTCTGTAAAGGAAATAATTTATAACATGTTGCACAATCCAGTGGCCTTGGGAGAAACAGCCCAGTTTACGAGCTGTACCACTACAGTGGTAATTCCTTTAGTTTTGATTTACAGTTAAAAGTGATTTTTATTAAACCTTTTAAACCATTAAACCTTAATAAAAGAAAGTAATCACATAAAGTTCTTGACATGTAACTCAAGAAGAGGGATCGGCTGAGTACAATCGTACAAAGGCTGTGATCTTAAATGCCAGAGGCAGAGTCCAGACAAGTAATATGACTGACAGACAGCTCTGCACAGTGCTGGCCCACTCAAAGATAAGATCTGATACTCTTCACAGTTAGAGTCCAGTTGGACATTACAGGAGACAATCTCCCTGAGGGCCTGCATCGAATGAAACATAGTCATAACTGAAGGGTCAGGATCAGAAGAGACTTCACATCGGTTCAGCCTTCAGACTGGACAAATGCTGTGATCGCCTTCAGAATATAAACAGCACATGCTCCGAGATCAGCAGACACAAACTGAAAGAAAAGTCAAGTTGGTGGGTGTTATTTCAAAGGAAGAAGAAGGAATTCACCAAGGAAAAGCTGAGTTTGTTGATCAGCTGTGATCTTAACCTCAGTTTATATTAGTGAAAGTTTCTGATTCTTCTTCAGTTGACACTACATTTTTGTGAAAATTAGAAACTTTGACCTTGTGATTGAGTTTGAAGAATGGGTTAGAGGATTAACAAATATTTAAACATTATAGAGAGGGGAACATACGTTTGTGGCTGCCAAAATGATGTAACCCTCCAAAAGTAATTAAACATTTCACCTAAAACTCAAAACTGTCGTATGCGTGATACTGAAAAAGGGGATAACCAAAGTCACCAGGATTCAAATATAATGTAATATTTATATAATATTATAATCATATTAATAATAATTATGTGTGTATAATGTATTTCATTATATTATAATGATTCAGATATTACAGTTAAAGTCATTTATTTCTAGGAACTTGTTTGATGATTGGGATTCAAATATGCTACACTGATATAAAACAAATAAAAAGCTTCCGAACCATGAGACCGCCGTAATTAACTGTTAAAAAAGTATTTCTAATGGGAATCGAGTACTTGACAAAACTATTTGACTCACTGTGTGAAGACTCTGTGTTGCTGCTACACACATGACCGAGATGATAGGGTAATAATCATTTTATCCAGTATTTTAATGGTTGGAGGTTTTCAAATGTGCTGTTTGGTTCAGACGACTGTTCTCACTTAGGTGGGTTGTAGAAATCAGCACACATTCAGGAGAATATAACAAAGCTAGCTCTAAAGGTAGCATGTTTCATCTAAAGAGGATGTTGTTTGTCCTAATGTGGTTTCCTACAAGTAAGCTTTAAGGAGTGTTGATGATAATGCTAGGCTTACCTGGCAATAATTAGAATTCATTAAACTAACAGTATCTTTTTATTTGCCTTTCAAAACAACAACAACAACAACAATCTAACAATCTGTAATTTTGCGTTTAAAAGATGATGATGCTGTGCAACATCTTGTAAAAAAAAAAAAACAATCCTATATACACTTCACTGTGTTTACTTTTACATTCACATTTTATTTTGTAAATGTTTTAACTTAGATCTCACAAAAGAAAAATAATAATCTCTTCAAGACTTTTTATCATTTTCACAGGTGCTTAAGTTTATATTACTCACCTACAAGTGGCGTCATGGCTGAAGTGAAGACAGAGCTACTCTGGACCAAAAATGTTACCCCTGCCCCCACAAACATAGCCATGTATCCTGCCAGCCACCCAAACGGATATGGCAGGTCTGTTGGATAAGAAGGGAGAGATGGCAATTACCCCCAACATAGAACAGAAATGTATTGTAATTTGCATCCAAAGCTGTAACGGTTTTCACTGTTTGTTTGCTTGCTTACTTCTTCTTGCAGACATGATAACATCTCCTGCCTCCCAAAAGCAAGCTCACCTGTGTTGATGACTTTATGGATAACCTTTGCCACTTGGCCTTTAAGAAGAGAGTTGAGAAGCTTGACCAGAAGAAGAAGGCAGGTACAGAGGACAGCCATGGAGCAAACCAGGAGAATCAGGCCCACAGAGAGGTCCGACAGCCCGGTAGACACAAACAAATGCCTACCTGTGACGGGACAAAAAAAGCATCAGGATCTCATCCCTCAAAAACCACTTTAAATCTAGACTAAACAGGAGCAATACTGAAAAACATACATACTGCAAAAATACAGAATCAGAATTGCTCTAACAAGTCTCTAAACACTCTCCAGCTTGCCCAACATGCTGCTTTAAAAGTTTTGACAATATTAGTAAATGGGTCATATCTCTCCCATATTATACAAGAGCGCGGTCACACTGGCAATGTTAGGTTCTCTGTATTGGCTCCCAGCAAAATCACCAATTTAATTTAGAATCCTCCTCTCACCTACAAGGCTATTAATGTCCAGGTAGTAGTAGTTCAAAGTAGTATGGGAGACCTCATTTAACAAGCTCTTTTTCCATTGAAATCGCCTACCAGTTTGTGTCAAGGAGACAACTCCAATCCACTTTATTTATGTAGCAATTTTCATACATAAAAGCATGCAGCCCAAAGTGCTTCACAAGGCAAGCAGACACCCTCTTACCAGTCTATACTGCTATTGGCTTAAGGAGCTCCTGTCTCTTCCTCTAGCCAAGTTTTTCTGAGTCTCTTGTCTCACAGATTACTTTTATCGTGGTAGCAGCTTGCCTGCCAGTGTGGGCCCGCTGGACTTCGACTGCTACTGTTATTGCTTTTATCAATCAAATTTCAATTGCAGAAAAAGTGGATTATCATTATGACTGATTCTGCTGGAGGTTTTGGCCTGTTAAAACATTTCTTTTTGCCACTGTTGGAAGGTGCTGACTAATAGTAGAATTTGTTGGGTCTATGTAAATAACATACTAAAAGGTATGACAGAGACCTGCTCTCTATGTGTATGTGCTCTACTTTATGAATACAGATTCTTGATCTTGTTTTACATCGAACTCACATCTCATTGACAAATGGGACGAGTCGTGTGGCGGGTCACAGTTTTCAGCGCTCAAATTTCCAGCAAACTGCAGAAAGAAAGAAAATAGGATGGGAAATTTAACGGTGTTTTGACAGCAACACAGTCTTCATTGGCAGCAGTGCAAAGCTCTATTTGGCGCCATAGTGTGACACAATAGTCTGCATGTGCAGGAGACAGCAGTGAAGACACTCCATTACCATAACATGGTCAGTCTGGCACCATTCTTTCACCAGGCTCCTGTTCCTCATGTCCTCATTTCCCATGGCGATCCCTGTGATCACACACTTGTCTAGCTGAAGAAGACGGGAGAAATATTTTTCATCTTTTCGGTTCAGTGAGCAAAAGGAGAGCAATGTCAAAGTATTCAACCTTCATTCCTTCAATCAAAATAGTGAGGGGCCTCCTAAAGTGTCTCTCTGCACTCTATAGGAAAACTTCCAATAATGCCTCAAATGCTGAGAATCTCTTATTATAGAAATCCAAATACTGACAGACCTGATGTTGCTAAGCTATGCTGTGACCTGTAGCAAATAACAGCTTGAAAATGTTGATAGGATGATAATTTTACCTGTATGATGAGCTTGGTTATTGGCTCAGTGATGACCTTAAGCAACTCAGGGGCTTCTTCCCCCGGTTGAAGGCTGAAGCTGGTGACCAGCAGGTGTGACAGCCGGGCCATGAGACCACTCGCGACCTCTAGCGGCAGCAGAACAAGCACTGACAGCCAGTTGAAGCAGTCGTGGATTGTTGCCCCAGCAAAGGCACTGAAGGTGGTCACAATTATTTTCTGTGTTAACAAAGGTCAGCCATCAACATGATCAACTACTCAAAATGATTGAATGGTAATCTGCTTTGTGGCTATAATGAACGTTTTAGTTTTAATTCAGTGTGTGAGTATCATGTGAAAGATTTTTTATTTTTATTTTTTTTACTAGATTAAGTAACAAACCATCTGTTCTTTGCAGTATATTTCATGCCAGGGGGTTATTGGTTTGGTATCAATGTGGAATGGTGCCATTATTGTCACTGTTGTTGCTCAGAAATCACACTGCAATAGAAGCTTAAGCGAAAAGGCAGTGAACATCTGCTAATGCTTTCTCTTCACCCTCGTCTGCTTTCTCCCCACATTTGTAGCACTTCTTTCCTCCATCTCCCCACTTATCCTCTTCACTTTTCCATCTCTTTTTAGTCTTGCCTGCTCTTTAGTTTCTTCTCCAATCATCCTCTGACTCGTCACCTTTTCTGAACTCACCGTTGAAATTCACTCCTCTCTGCTGCTTGCATCATGGCCACGATGGTGTTTGTGACTGAAGTCCCAATATTGGAGCCCATGATGATTGGAACAGCCGACTTCACTTCTAGCACTGCGGGTCAAGACCATATAGAACGACAAAAATATTCTTAAAGCCTTTGGAAACAAGGGCGCCATTAGTGTTTAGTTCCCACACCCCATGTACTGTACTGAGACTTGAGCGCCACCCAACTACCCCCACAGACCTTCACTGAATAAGATTTCTTACATATAGACTATACATACATGTACAAGTATATAAGGGCAAGGTATATATTATTTAGTTATTGACTTAAATGTATAATCTGCAATAAAAATGTAGATTTAAAATGTTCTACGTGTCTGAAGTTACTGGTGATGTGTTTCTATCGCTCTGAGCCTCCAATGACTCTCATTGTAAGTTGCACAAGCGTATTTACTCTGCTGTAATGCAAGAGATACAAGCTTCTCAAGGGGCAGGAAGAATGTGTCACTGGAAACATTCCACCCCACTACCCCAAAGTTGGCGGCAGAGAGATATGTCCTATGAAATGAGACGGAAAGAGCGAGTCATGCAGTGTCACTGGATCATAGCATAGACTGTTTTATAAAGGTGAATCAGAGCAGCAGACCTGACTAGCATGAGTCAGGAGTTTTTTTTATTTGGTCCAAAGAGTTTAGGAAATACATGCCTGTAAGTACGAGTGCATGTTGTTTGCTTAGGATAATAAGCAAAATAGATCGTTTCCTGAGATAAAATTATAGTGATGCTAGTTTAGCCAGTTTATTGCATTCTCCAGTTAGCATCAAGCTAAAAAACTAAAATATTCATCCCGGACAATCTGTAAGAAATAGTGCTCAGCAAGCATGGAGCAGCGAATGAGACGGATACAAAACACAAATGAGTGGGGGGGATTTGGATTGACAATCAATCAAGACTCAAGCTGGCACACCCACACAATATCTAATATATAGTTATGGATGTTTATTTTCACTCAGATTTTAGTCAATGCTCAATGATATTTTGGAGACCATGTTGTTATTTTTTGGGGGTCAAATTTCCATCGGCTAAAATATGATTTTAGGAATGAATCATATGCACATTTTAAAGGTGCACTATGTAGTTTTGGAAGAGAAATGTGAAAGTTGGAGAAGTGTACAGATGATGTGGTATATGTTCACAATTCAATACAGAAACTGTTTTTAGAGGAAAATTTGGTCCCTGGAAAGCTGTTTGAAGATAAAATGATAGGCGAGAAGTTATGGTGGGGGTAGCTTTTTAGCTCTAAACAGTGTTCCAGGGACCCATTTTTTCTTTGATTAAAGTTTATGTAGTCAGTTCAGAAAATATAGCATAGAATTGTTTCACTTCTCTAACTTTCAAATTTCACCACCAAAACTCCACAGTGCACCTTTAATTTATATATTTCTGCTTTAATTGTAAATGCAAATGGCTCACACTAATAATCATTCAACATGACCTTCTGTATTTCAAATTGCTACAAGAGTTTTAATGGAGATGAAAGGTGATTGTAATTTGCAGATAAGTGACAGCATGCTCAGCCTTCACACTCTGCAGGCAGAGTTTATAGTTGAGGATGCTTCTAATGATAATGACCTGAGTGACATAAGCCCACGCTTATAGTGATACACATCCTTGCTCCTTGATAATTACCCATAATCCTTCTCTTGAAAAATATTTTTAAGTGGAGAGGAAGCTCCTGCATACTGATACCATTCCTCAACCACACTGACAAAAGTAAGATGTCCTCGGAGTTTGTGTTCATTAGAAACAGACAGGTCGTAACCTTAATGTCCAATGCTCTTACTATGGTAAACTGTTGCATGTATGACATGGTTTGCGATAAAACATGTTGGAAAGGGTTTGATTTGATTTGATTTTTTAACCCCAGTCCAGTCTGCCAGATAACTATTACACTCAGCTGTTGTTTTTACAGATGGATTGTATAGTACCACAAACAATAAGCTCAAATGGCAATTTCAGGTCAGTCTGTGTGTAATAATCAAATAAAAGAAAGATTAACATCATTTATGAATTAAGTCATTTTAACACATTAAGGTTAATGTATCTAAAGACATTATTAATGTAAAAAAAGTCCAATGGAAAGACAATGCATATGATTAAATATATTATTTTGCATAGCCTCATTATTAACATTTCACTACAGTTTACTATTCCTGACACTTCACTAGGTTGATTATGAACTTGTATCTTTTTTATGGAACCCCACATAGACTAGCAATAGGAAACACTCATGAAAGCACCAAATATGTTTCCCACATGACAAAAATAATCCTTAAAAATGCTCCTCCTCTCCTCTTTGTTTGCTCAAACAACAGTGCCCATTTGATTTTTTTTTTTAAATTATGGATCTGCAACAAAAAATGTATCTTCAGTAAACAAAAAAGAAAAAGGGATGCACTTGGGGCAATGAACACAGCCAGGGTATGAAAAGATATTCATTGACATTAACTTCACAAATAGAATAGTGCGTGCTTTACGCTTTCAATCATGATACATTTTCCCTGGGTCTACGTGTCCTAGTTTATATGACTAACAATAATCTATGATTTGTCTCTGTCATTATACATATTAATCTGCCTTCTTTTATGTATTTAACATGAGCTGTATTTAGATAATTTGGTCCTAAATTCTATGAAAAAAGGATAAATTACTGTATCATCCAGTGAACACAGCATCATTGAGCTGTATTTACTGGAACACTAAAAAAGCTATTAAAAATGATTAAATAACCACAGATTAATTACATCTATTTGTTACTGACACACTTGCACCATGGGAGTCCTCTGTTTTTATTGCTACGTTACTGTATTTCTGTTTATTGTCATTCCTATGCATGCACACAATTATAACCCATTGTGACCCACAGTTCACTTCAGGCTAAATGAGGTCAGCTTGGATGTCTTATTTGGAAGTCAAATTGCAATTTTCACTGAATTTTACACGCCTACTCACATCCGGAGGCCACCAGACTGACGATGATGGAGGTGGAGGTGGAGGAGCTCTGGACCAGCACAGTTACCAAGATCCCCACCACAAGCCCCGCCACTGGGTTGGACAACACAGCACTGTCCTGGAAAATGTCCCCTGCCACTTTACCTGGTTAAAAATGCCACCCACATACACACATAAACAAGACTGTTGCCATGCGCAATGTTAAACACAGGTCAGACTGTTCGTTCCACCAAATCCAAAAAGGTCACCAGATATGGCTCCTCAGTAAATTACAGAGCAGAGCCCCGGTGGGACAGTGTGAACTGTTCAACTGTGACTCACTTATTTGTCAAACATCAGCTGGCTGAGTCACAATGAGCCACCTGAGGTGGGCAGTGAGGGTTAAAGTACCTACCCCCTGCTAACTGGAAGGCCGAACTCAGGGTGTCCAAGGAGCAAACAAAGAAGAAAAGGAGCATGAGGAGGAGGGGGATCTTGGTCAGATTTATAAGAAGCTGCTTTGTCTTGTCTGAGGTCGAAGGAGAGCTACCTGTTTGGTGAAATAAAAGAAAGTGGTTAGCCTTGCAGTGTGCCCTTTAATCTGGTGTGCAAAGGGTGGCCAATTTTCAATAAAAAATATACCAGACAACACAGAAATGTGAGCTCACTCTTTCTCATTCTTGTGCTGTCTGTGTTCTCCTCAATGATTCATGAGTCTCATGTTAAGAGTGCAAAGCCATCTGATATACTACATTACCCAAACACAGCCAAACACCGCTGAGTGACAGCAGGACTTTGCATTTGTTGTCCTGACTGCGGGATCCCAATGGCCCTGTACTGAATGTCTTTGGAGCATGCCCTTATCTAGTGAGCCTGTAGTTTGTGCGGATTCTGCTGGTGTTATTTTCTATTTCAAAGAGATCAGACCTGCTGCAAACCCAGGAGATGAATGTACAATTCTCCTCTCGTACCTTTCTCTGTAGGGAGCGTGCCTGGCTCCCCGAGTGAAGGTGAGCTGGAGTGGTGATTAATATGTTGGTTGTAGCCCTCCAAGCGGCTAGTGAGGTCAAGGGTGGAGCCGATGCCGGACTCTCTATCCTCCTCTAGCAGTTGTTTGGGTTTCGAGGAGAGCTGGGTGCCCTGCGCCCTCTCCCCTGAAAGCAGAGAAGAACAGTATATACTCAGATAGAAAAGATTTGCTATGAATCATTTTAAAGACATGAAAATAACAGAGATGAGATTTGAAACCTTACTATTATAGTCGAGCCCTGTGCTCCGTCCAGTCGACATTATGATTATAGATCGAGAGGACATGCTGCTTTTAATGGCTGTGTGGAGACGGGAAGATAATTAAAATCACAGGATGACACCATGGCTGAGGGAACAATTGTGAACCAAAAGTGGATGTGTTTATCAACCACCTGCAGCAGCTAAAAGGGAGTCAAATGAGACTGAACATATCTGTATTGTCATTCACCAAGCCACCAAGATCGACAGACAAGAAATTAGAGGACAGAAAAGGTGTCCAATTCTGTTTGTAATTGGCAGCTGTTCTTGATTTAAGGTCAAATCACACACTTAAACAACATACGCCGCCAGGAATCATCTCGCCTCCCTACAAATGAACGCCTTGTCAGAATCAATAAAGAGCCATCAGCATCCATGCAACTTGTCTTGTCCTCCGTTTCCTGCAGCTGCAAGTCAGCTCTTAAAGGAACTCTCCTCCATCTATACAGCTTTGCACACTCTCGCTTTAAAGAGACCGCTTTTCACCCTTTTCATGTCACCCTCTTTGCTGTATTTTGGGGATTCCAGTGGAGGAGGGAGTGATAATGTGTCTCTTAAAAGCAAAGAGGATGGAAGTGAGTTCAGTAATTACAGCAGCCAGAATTACAGTTATTACATCCTTTTCATTCTGTGCGGCATCCTCCCTGTTAGCATATGTGCGTCTATCTGTATGTGGGAGTAAGTAAGACATGGTCCATAGATTGCAGCTGAATAAACACTGAATGCAATTGTGCGTACTTTGTGAGTGTGTACACTGAATGTCATCCTCTAAGCTGTCTGCCCTCTGCTCGTATATAAGCTGCTCTGCCACTAACTCTGTTTGTGTCTGTTTTTTGTGCTATTTGTGGGTTTGCCTTTGCGTCAGCGTGACTCACATGTATCTCTCTATGTTGTTTCACTCCAAGACAAAGTGTTACTGGAGTTTACTGGTTGTTGAAAAATAAAATGATCAATGAAATATTTAGTAGTGGCTGTCAGTGGGAGATGGCTTAGTTGAGTAAAAAATCCCAAAGATGTACGAGTTGTGGGAATTGAATTTTGAGAAAATCAATCACTGTGGGAAAAAAATCACATTACGACATATTTTATAATAAAACTAAGAGTTAAGCATCTTACCTTGTCTGAAACAGTCTTAGGTGCTGTAGTGAGTGACCCCCTGTAGAAGGAAGTGTAAAACTAAAGAGTGAATCCTCCTTTCATATGTCTGCAGGTGTCAGGGGAATACCTCATCTCTTGTTTATTAACCTGCTCCATCATCAGCGACCTCACTGTGAATCATTAACAAAAACTCTTAACTTAACAACACATATATGCATGTTGTACAGGTGATGAATTTTGTTTGCTGAACCAACTATTTTTCCTCCTGATTTGGGGCCAGATAAACATTCCATGATGGAGATGATTTTTTTTTTAACGAGATTTGAGATCTTTGTTGTTTAAAGTTCTCCTTGTAGGAAACAAGGAGGCATCTGACACCTAGTGGTTAATGTTGGGAAGAAAAACTGCTCTCTCTTAAGGGCGCTCATATTTTCATGCAGCTGTTTTTATCTACTACTGCAGCCTGGCAAAGATTAAAGCCAAGGTATTAAATTATCATTTTATTCATGAGATAAGTCAGTGGAGGTATTTCAGCCATGTAAAAGTAATCTGCTCGACTTCAGAGAAATCTTCAGGTACTTTGGTGTTGTGCAAGGAGGCTAGGAGTATTTCGTGATTACACACTCGATGTCCTGGCAATGTCCTTTTTAGCATGGGAGAACACCGTGATGACCCAAGAATAATTGTTAATAATTAGGCCTGCTGCTGTTCTGCCATATCAGCAGTGCTCTCAACCAAATCTATCAAAGCTGCTGACCTCAAACTCACAGACCTAACAACCCTCCTGACTATGTTGTTTCTTTCCAGACTGTTATGAAGGCAGGGAGCCAGAGAGCGATAACAGTTCTCTTTTTGTGCATGCAGCAACTGGACTGGAGCTGAGGCTGCTGCTGCTGCTGCTGCTGTCAATGGCTGCAGAGGGAGAAATCCTTGAGATTTGGTGCAGCATAAAACGTGGTGGAAAAAGAGAAACAGAGACGCATATGGACAAACACATGCAATCACTTGTACACACACACTTTGCTAAAGCCCTGGCCTGATTCCAAAGCTCTTCGATTTAAACCAGCCCCTCTCCGTGATGCTGTTAATCCCCTCTCCAGATGTGCGAGTCACAGAGAGGCTGCAGAGCTCAGGGGGATAAAGCAAACAGAGGCCACCAGGTCACCAGGCAGCATCCTGCTACTCCAAAAGCACCTGCCAATCAAGGAGCTGTAGGTAGCATGCTGTTAGCCCTCGTCTGCTTCTCATGAGGCCATGTTATCCCGTTAATATTACACTCAGGCAAAGCATATGATGTTTTTACAGAAGGCTCCTGTAGTCTGCATCTGAATGAGTGGAGTCATGGATAGAGGCCAGTTATTTATATCGAGACATACGGCAGGTCATTCATTTGATGAACTTGGCTTTATCTTAAGATAGTTTCAGATTTTATTATTTTATGACATCAATAGTATTAGGGTAACATACTGTAACTTTAGCAACGATGAATGCTCTTTATAAAGAATAATAAACCAACCCTTCCGTCTCACTTTTGCCACAGATAACAGGAATGTTGAAGGTTTTATCACCAAAAGAAACAAATTGAGTCCTTTACTGAAGCAATGTTGCCAAACAGTATCTCCTGGCATGGTGCAAATGAACTACTTTAACAAACTATAATGAGATAATAACTGAATTGACAAATCAACTGAAATTGCATTTGAACACTTTTGATTGGTAATTAATGGTTAAATGAAGTGCTTTTAATAAACAAGATGTGATTGCATTTATACATAGAAGTCTATTTTTTGTTGTATAATAGTTAATATATTTGGTATATGAAACAGAAATAACATATGAACTAAACATCTTAAACTCAAGGAAAAGAGATGAAGATTTGATTTCATGTTATAGACTATAAATTAATTATGACATTGTGTATGGACAACAATGTTTACTTGAAGACCTTAGTTAAAGTTCGAAGCTGTGTAGGTTAAAGATATTACTTCTGCAGAGCACGTTTGTCAAATTAGCTGACTTGTATAAAACCTGTAAATGTCCTGAGATCTCATCCTCATTTTAAGAGTTTTATCCATAAGAAATGTACACACTTTTTTTCTTCTTCTTGTGTGACTCAGTAGCTTTATATCAAGCCAGTCAATCTTAGAAATAAAGAAAATAAAACTATGACGAAGATTCGACCTCTCTGCTTAACATCACTTTGTTGTCTGAACTGGTAAGCATAAGCACAGCATAACTGGTCTGGACATGTTACTTTGATGAAGGTGTGTGACTACAGTAAGTACAAAAAGTCCTTAAATCTAACAGTAGTTAAATAATATGACTGCGGGGTGGGTGGCACAAAACAAAATCGTTTTTATTTATTTAGATTAAACATGTAATCACAGACTGAAAAATAAACTGCATTCCTCCTTCCACTGAAATGTATTAATGTTTAATTATGTTTGTTTTGGTCTTAGATACTTCATCTATATTTCCCCACAGTGCCGTGTTCCTGTTATGATAATTTAAGATGTTTAATTTCTTGTTGCTACTTTAATATTGGGGACTTAAAGCGGTCTATAAACCCTGGAAGATCTTATCCTACTCTAATACTCTCAATGTAATTAAATAAAATGCTTCAACTGGGATGTATGTCATTGTCAACAATCTCCCCTGAGGCTAAACTGCCCACTTGTTTTTCGCCTTGCTGTTCCTGAAGTTCTTAACTCGATCGTCTCCACTAACCAGTGTCATGAACCAGCCTGTGGTTCAAAAGAGAATAGTTCAACATGGTGCGCACCGTTTTACATGACTAGTGTGATCTGACAGATACTTCTGGTCAAAGACAAAGCCTCTTTTAGTTCTCATGCATTGTTTCCTGTTTGAGTTGAGCTCATTTGCACAGTCATGCAAACACCACAGCAGAAGTAAACAAATAGGGCCCGACTGATAAAAGATTTTGGGGGCCGATACCAATATCGATGTTAAGGATGGGAAAAAAAATCTGATACCGACATATCGGCCGATATCTTTATTAGATCTATGTTTGCTCTGTAGAGATATGTATAAATAAAAACATTTATTGCGTTGATCCCTGAAATGCAGTTATCAATCACTTGTGAAAAATAAGTGAAATATAATGAAGACTAGATGGTAACTCAACTGAAAAGTTACTGCACATGTAGCTCAGCAGCACTTGACATGTATGTTTTGTATGTCTAGTGAAAGAGAACTGCTAGTTTAATACAATGAAACACTAATGAGATTATTTTTGACTGGTGCATAAATCTAGTAATATCAGTGCATATCTGCGATAAAATTAGCCGATACCGATAATCGGTCGGGCTCTACTAAACACAAAATATTTTTTCAATTCGCACCACTTCTTTTTCGTCCCGTCTTCAAACCAAGCAGTTTGAGAGTTAAAGCTGTGTTTTGAAGCTGCAGTATTTCACCCACTGTCAGACGTTTGATGTGAATGAGAGCAGAGTGAAGACAGATTCAGTTTATTGTCAGCACACATTCAGTTTAATACAATGCTCCCAGGACAATGAATGTACGTGTGTTCAGTTCCCTTCATATGGCAATAAATTGACTGCTTGTGTGTTTTATGATCTAGTTTATTATCATCGCTATTTTGTATGCTTTTTGTGTGCATATGTACTTTTTTATGCTTCGGGTTTTTTAATGATGATCTTGTAAATTGACGAACAATCTAATCCCTTTGGTCCGTTCATTTGTCACTTTGGTTCCTCTGTGGAGGGTGAGGGCATTTCAGAGCCATCAGGACACTCCTGAGAAAACAGAGAGATCATGAAACAAATGCAGCTCCGCCTCAAATTGCCTGTTTAATATTTCATGATTTGATGCCATTTATCATTTAAAGTATTGCTGTTACACATGAATGAGGCAAATATGAATGCATTAAAAAATACTATTTTCAACAT